AAATTGGTCTCCATACAACACCCAGTGCTCATCCTAACAAGTGCTCTCCTCACTGCACACCACCCACTTTCCCCTCTCCCCCACCCCCCATCAACCCTCAGTTTGTTCAACTGATGAATTGATAAAGAAGATGTGGTTTATATATACAATGGAATAGTACTTGGCAATGAGAAAGAATGAAATCTGGCCATTTGCAGCAATGTGGATGGAACTGGAAGGTATTATGCTAAGTGAAATAAGTCAGAGAAAGACAGATAACTACATGTTTTCACTCATAGGTGGATCTTGAGAAACTTAACCGAAGACCATGGGGGAGGAGAAGGGGGAAAAAAAGTTACAGACAGGGAGCGAGGCAAATAATATTATATATTCTTACATATTTGCTTTATCAGTTTCTGAGGGGCTTATATTGAAATCTCCTCTTTAGTAGTAAAGATTTGTCAAATTTCTTGCTCTGTCAAATTGCTTCATCTTTCAGAGTCCCATTTTCTTCATCTGTAAAATGAAATGAGAAATTGTGGGTAAAACAATAGATACTAGGACTGTAGGCACTCAATCAGCCAAAGGTGCTCTTGTTTGGTCATTATTACTACTATACATATTATTCATAAATCCAAGCCCCTCCATCAAGATGGCTTAGTTTTGGAAGGTGAGGCACATCAGTCAGAATAAAACCCAAGCAAGAAATACTACCAAAAAAATCAAGTTGATTAAGTCATATCACCTAGGCAAGACCAGTGCCAATTAGGAGTCATCCTGTTCACCAGGAAAAGCAGTTCCTTCTAGAATGAGCATGTCTTATGAGCGTTCTTCAACGTTTAGGGGTAGAGTGACCAATGATAGAGCAAGACAGGGGCCAGAACTCAGAATCCTTGATTTAGCTAAGTGGGGATCCAGGGTCCTAGAGCCTCATGAAGGTGAGGAACACATAGCTACTGATAAAATACTTAAAGATTCTAAACATTACCAAGGGATATTTTCTTAAAATATATTTCTAGATGTTTTGACACTTTTCCTATGAGAAATGGTATTTCCTGGAATATCTGAGCGAGAAACTGAAAAATTCTCTTTCTCCTACCTGGGTCTAGTTTCAGGAACGAGTCCTAAGAAGAGATGAGATGATGTGGTGACCCTCCACTCCCACATGTACACTTTCTGAAAGAATGGAATGGTAAGACTTTTCAGGGTATTCTTTCTTTCCTCCTTTTCTTCCATTCTCCCTCCTTCCCTCCTTCCCTTTCTCTCTCCCTGACTCCCCTCCTTCCTGCCTGCCTTCTTCCTTTTCTTTTCTGTGTACCTCAGATATGTTATGTGAGAACTCAATCTAAACAAAATATGTTGCTATTCCCTCATTCCAGTGTTCACCTCACAATGCCTTGATGACATAGTGCGTATCACAAATCTAAGATTTCAGAAAAGGGAAATGATCACCCCAATGCAGACTGGTAAAATAGTTAAACACACGAGCTCTGGATTTAGTCGTCAGTTTGAAATTCTTACTGTATCCCATAATGGCTGTGTATGTGTGACTGAGCACATCACCACCTCCTTTTTCTCATGTGTAAAATCAAGATAAAATTAGGTTGTTGAGCCCACAGAATGTACAACACCGAGAGTGAACTTTCATGTAAACCATGGCTTTTGGATTATGATGTGTCAATGCAGGTTCAACAACTGTAACAAATGTACCACTCTGCTGTGGGATGTCAGTAATGGTTGGGGGTGCAGCTATGTGTATGTAGGGGCAGAAAGAATATGGGAACTCTCTGTACCTTCCCCTCAGTTTTGCTGTGAGCCTAAAACTGCTCTAAAAACAAAGTTTCAATTAAAAAAATTTTTAAATCAGGTTGCTGTGATGATTAGATGAGATAATCTGAGGATCTGTCATACTGTCTGGCATTTAGTAGGCCCACAATAAGTGCTAACCCCCTATTTCTTTCTTAAAATCATAGCTAGTTATCTCTGCCCTGTTTTGAACTCCACACAAACCCTCTTCAATTCTGCATCAACTATGTACTACAGGCACATGTTTGTTCACTTAATGTGCACTTATTCTACATGGAAAACTTTTACTGGAAAAGACAAATATAGATGTGACCCATTTCTTGAAAGAACTTTAATTTGTTAGGAATACAACACACATACACATACACGTACATCAAATCAATAGAAAGTAATGGATTTGCAAATGCTGAGTTATAATGCTTGGGGCAGAGGCATAAGAAAAGGTCAGACTGGAGGTAAATATTGGAGAGGAGGTAGAATATTGAAAAAGGAAAGGGGATGGATTATTAACACACCTCTGGACTTTTCGGAGGGTTCAAAACTAGACATAAATGCCCATGACAAAGCTCAAAGATGCAGTATACACAAATTCATTATTCTTCCCATAAAAAAACATTTATTAAATGCCAACTTAGTCCCAGGCACCAGGTTACATAGCTCTGAGACACCTTGGTTTTCCTCTCCAAGGCATACAATCTAGTAGATGAGTCAAGATATTGTTATAAGAAAAGTGGACTAGAATAAGGCAGTATAGGAGTATAGGATGCTTGCATGCTACAATCATCGGTCCTTAAATTCCAAGGAAGGAGTAAATATTTTTGATTAGAGATAAGAGGAGGAGTTTTCACTGATGAAAAGCAAGGGCTTTGTAAATGAGGAAAGTTGTAAGTGCAAAGGGGAGGATATCACATGCAGGGAAGGGAAAAGAGGCTTTAAAAGATAAGGTTTGAGAGGTAAGATTCTGATTGTGGAAGCCTTGTAAGTTAAGGGACTTGGGCTTTTTTCTCAGGACAATTAAGATCCACTGAAAAGTTTAAAGCAGAACAGTGATGTGGTCAGATTTCTGCTTAGAATAATCATAAGGCAGGAGTGTAGAGAACAAATCAGTCAGGGTCGAGCCTGGAAGCAGTGAGACCAGTTAGGAAGCTACTGCGATGGTCCAGGCAAATGATAAAATAGAGAAAAGTCTGCTCTAGGACAGAGGAATTTCCAGCAAGGGGTCAACATGCAAAAATCCTCCTTTATGTCTGGCTGCCTTTAGACTTGAAGTGACTTCACTAAGTCATACTTGTTTAGATCTTGCCCAAACCTACTTTGAACACAAATTTTGAGTGAGGAAGTAATCCCTTGGTGGCCCCTTGTGACCAAGGGCTCAAATTTGTTGGTTGGCTAGCCAATTTAAGGAGTGTGAAATTTAGACAGAGGAAAGAGTAAAGTTTTATAGGGGTCTTGGCATCCATAAAATATGACTCTTATCACAACTCTAAGCAACCACATGCTCAAAGCCATCGTGGTTCAAATTAGGGAAATTGAAGCTCTGTTTGGAACTTCCCAACCTATAGTGGTAAGGGATTGTTTGGGTATTAGTAAGACCTTCAAAGAAGGTATATAAATCCTATCCAGCCATCTGGCCACTTAATGCCATTAAGTAAATGGGCATTTACTTAATATATTTTGTGTTTACCCAACTATCTCCCCTTTTCCTCAATCTTTTGCTTCTAAATTTGCCTGTACTGCCAAATTGGCCCTCCATGCATCTAGATTCTTCTGTCTTAGTCTTTGATTCCCAGTTCCCCTCACTCCCTTCTTCTATCTTAGTCTTTGATTCTCAGTTCCCCTCACTCCCTTCATTCCTCAGCCATTCTTACCACTCCCCACTCTTTATAGACTTTATTCAAACTACCCGCCTCTTTGTAGAGGTTCTCTTACGAACCCAATCCATCCTGCTTCCATTGACTTGAGTCCTAGACTGACAGCTTATATTTCTTGGTAGTTGTTGATAGGCATCCTAGCAACCCAGGAAGCAAAGTGGAAATAACATAAGCTCTTTGGACAAGCAGGCCTGATTCAAATCCTATATTAACCATTCATGAACTGTGTGACCTGGAGTGGGTTACTTAATCATTTTTTAAAAATTTTTAACGTTTTTTCATTTTTTGAGAGACAGAGAGTGTGAATGTGAGTGGGGGAAGAGACAGAGGGAGATACAGAATCCAAAGCAGGCTCCAGGCACTGAACTGACAGCACAGAGCCCAATGCAGGGCTTGAACCCATGGACTGTGAGATCATGACCTGAGCCAAAGTCGGATGCTTAACCAACTGAGCCACCCAGGTGCCCCTAATCATTTTTAATTATAGTATTCTCATCCATAAAATGGGAGCAACAATTGTACCTACATTCAGAGTTCTTGGGAGGATTATAAAATAACTGATTTAGCATTTAACACATAGAAAAAAATCAACAAATGTCTATTTAAATAAAGAGTCATAGTTCAGTTCCTTTTTGGATGGGATCTCCTGTCTTCCTTAAATGAGTTGGAATCTGCCAAAAGATAAATGGCCATAGCTTTCTTCCTTGTGATTCCTCTACACCCCTGCATCTGGTATAGGGCTCTGTATGCAATAGGCATTCAATTAATTCAGTGACCTGATTAGACATTATCAAAAGCCCCAGGTAGAGAATTGGCTACGGGAAAGGAAATAGGTCTTAGGGGGCTGAATCTAGTATAAATTTGGGGGACCAGATTTACCAGAAAGGGAAAAAATTTAGAAACCTTAGACTTAGGATAAAGAGAGAGTGTGACACTTTGTCTTATAGTGAAACAGTGTAATTGTAATAGAAATGAAGTTTCAGACAGTCCTGAATTGAAATCCAAGTTCCACTGCATACAAGCTACGCGATGACCTTGGGCAAATAACCAAAGCTCTCAGGGTCTCAGATTCCTCATCTGTAAAAATGAAAATAATACTTGACTTCCAGAGTTATGAAGAATATTCAAGGAATAAGCTATTTAAAATTCCTAGAATAATGCCTGAGACATGGTGAGTAGCCAAATATAGTCACCTCCCTGTCCTTCCCTTTATTACCCTTTCTTGACTGCATTTGACATCATGGAAATCTGGACATGTGGAGGGAGAAGAATTGTGAGGCCTTCTTAAGAACATTCCTAAGTGTTTCCTTCACATCTTTGTTCCTCAGACTGTAGATCATGGGGTTAAGTAAGCATGGGAATGACCACTGTGTAGGATACAGACACCAGCCTGTCCCTGCCTAGCAAGTACTCAGAGGATGGGCGCAAGTAAATGAATGCTGTGGTTCCATAGTATAGGCTGACAGAAGTCAGGTGAGGAGCACAAGTGGAGAATGTTTTGTGTTTACCCTTGGCTGAGGGAATTCTGATGATAACCAAGAAGGCATATGCGTAGGAGACCAGGACGATTGTCAGGGACACAGACACATTAAAGCCACCACAGGCAAAGAGGAGAAGCTGGAGTATCTGTGTGTCAGAGCAGGAGAGTTTTAAAAGGGGAGGAATATCACAGAAATAATGCGTGATGACATGGGATTTACAGAAGGTCAGATAAAAGATTGTGCTAGTGAGGAGCACCATGTTCATCAGGCCCACTGCATAGCTGGCAGCCACAAGCTGCAAACAGAGCCTTGGGGACATGATGATATGGTAGAGCAGAGGGCTGCAGATGGCCACATGGCGGTCATAGGCCATGGAAGCCAGGAGGAAGAACTCAGTGACAGCAAAGAACACAAAACAGCTTGTCTGTACCACACAACCAGAGAAGGAGATTGTTTGGCAACCAGAGAAAAAACCCATCAACATTTTTGGAACTGTGACTGAAGAATAACAGAAGTCAATAAAGGACAAATTGCTGAGGAAGAAATACATGGGAGTGTAGAGGGCTGACCACAATGAGGGCAAGGAGGCCCAGGTTTCCCACAACTGTGATTGCATAGATCAGGAGGAAGAGGGCAAAGAAGATAGGCTGAAGGTGAGGATCGTCAGTGAGGCCCACAGTGAAGAATTCACTCAACTTGCTGGTGTTGCCTGCACCCGTTGGGCCATTATAGGTCTGTGAAAGGAACATGCATGACAATAGTGAGAGGTGTGCAGCTCAAGTCCTAAAACAGAGACCAGCAGGGACTGGCCCTGGCTACCTAGGACATAATATACTGTGTATATAGGCTATGGTTTCATCTTGGCTTATGCATCTCTTGCCATCCCCTAGCCTATTGGATACCAGGTTTAAAGGCATAAGGATGGAATCTGGAGCCAGAATAATGGGTCTGAATCTCAACCTTGCTATTTATTGTCTCTGTAACCTTGGACTAGTGTCTTAACTGGAATCTTCTCTGTAAACGGGGATAAAGCACCAATCTTGTAAGATAGATTGTAAAACCTAAGGGTGATGATGTGTATGTGTACAATGTCTAGCAAGAGCAAATACTTAATGAAGTCTAATTTCCTTCCTCCTTCTGTGCTCTTATTTTGAACACCCAACCTGTCCTCAGACAAAGCTTAACCTGAGTATAAAGTCCAGGACAGAAATCTTAGACAAGGGAGCAACTCTAGAAACTTATTAGTTCTTTCATTATCAGCTGTGTGTTTGAGAAACAGCAGGGAATGAGTGGAGGAGGAATATCAAACAATATAATATAGAGGTAAAAGGACAAGCTCCAGGGTCAATTATATGTTGGGTTAGAATCCAATTCTATGATGCTCTAGCTGTGTGACCTTGGGCTTATCCTATATGAGATTCAATTTCCTTATCTTTAAGATGAGAGTACCAAATATTTACTTCATTAATTGACTGAAAATTAAAGATAATTCATGTAAAGCACCTAGCATACACTAAGCATGTGGGAAATATCAGGAACTTCTGGTAGGTCTCTTGAAACCACATGCAAGCCTCTTAGATTGTCCCACTTGCCCCCTGCTAAGTATCCCTTCCTAATTGAGCTCCTGTTACCAATCATTGTGTTGCAATTCTCCAGTGTGTTGTGGCAGTGAGATCTACCACGTTCATCTAATACTTATTTAAAGATGGAGAAACCCAGAAGTCAGGGCCTCAAAAGAGAAGGCAAACTGCCCATAGTTTCCCAGAGATTTGGTTTAAGTGCCAGAACTGGACCCAGGTGTCCTATCCACAGTATTCCTCCCAATTGGAGGAGATAACATCCTCTGACATCTCCTTTTTCATAAACATGGAACCCATGTCCTTATCAGAACATAGGGGGCTGCTTCACCCACAGCTCTTTGAAAAATTACGAGGTTGAATTCTTAGGGCCATTTCTATCTTTTCTCTTAATCAGGGAGATGGCCAATGTCTAACTGTATTTTATTTTAATACTGTTTTTCCTGTTAAGAGCTGGGATAGTGAAGAACAATATATAGCATTGCACAAAGGATTTACATTATTGGATTTAGTGTCAGAACACCTGGGTTTGAAATCAGATTCCATATTATTTTAGGTCTATAGTCTTCAGGAAGTCCTTTCTGAGTCATAAGATCTTCATTTGTAAAATGGGAATAACACTTGCTTTTCTGATCTCACAGGACTGCTGTAAATATCCAATGAGAGTCTGTAGGAAGATACTTGTAAGGTGTTAAGTATGGTCATGGTCAATACTCAGAAAGCATGCACTGGGAAAGCCAAATAAACTTTTACAAACTTCTACGATAATTGTTAAATTGTTCCTCTGGAGCCTGCTCCTCTCTAAAAACTGCTCTGGCACCTGCCAGTCCTCCTTGGTTTCTATAACACTGGCCTCCATCTTCTTGTGGCCTCCAAGTCAGACCCTGAAAGAGAAAACTAGATTAGCCTCTGACAACCTGTAAGTAAATGTCTGATGTCCTTCTGCCACTCTCAGGCTGTGGCTTCCTGCTTGTGGCTGGTGTTTCATTAGAGTTACCTTTATGGCCATCTTGGGAACTGAAGTTTCCACAGTAAATAATACTGGTTGTTAAATTTTTAAATATTATACTGACTGTATTAATAGCTACCAATAAAGTATCTAATAAGTGCCACACTATGCTGGGTAATTAATATAAGTTATTTTACTTAATCTTCTTAACAGCCCTAGGAAATAACCACTATTATCATTCCCATCTTACAAACCAGGCAACTGTGGCTTGAGTACTGAAATGCTTTGCTGAAGATCTCATAGCTGGTTAAATGGCAGAATCTACATTTAAATATAGAATACATTTAAATATTCTAATGCTACTGTCGTATCCATGCTGTCTTTTCCAAATGTAGAGTCATATAATTAAAGATTACTAAAGTTTTCTCAAGGGATTTACAAACCTATTCTTTGTTATCATGCTAATCTTAGAAACAATTAAAATGATTTCTTTTAATTTTACAGATGGTGAATCTAAGCTACAAAAAAGTTAGGTACATTGTTCTTGGGCATTTATTCATTCAAAGAATATCATTGGGTGCTTGGTGTGTTCCAGGCAACATGATAGGCACTAGAGGTATTCTCATGGATTTCACAATCTGAAGGAAGAGATGAACAGCAAACAAACAAACACATTAATTAAAAGTTTAAATAAAAGTATAAAGAAAACAAAACAAGCTAATGAAATAGAGCTCAGGGTTTGGAGGGGCAGAGTTAGGTAGAGTGGAAGGGAAAGCCTCTCTAAGGAGTTGACATTAAAACCAGGAGTCTGAATGGAGAGGAGCTTGAGTACAAAGATTCAGAGTACACACACTTAGTGATATTCTCAAGAATAGAACTCAGCTCCCCTAAATTCTACCTAGGGTTGCTGTCTCCAATTGGAAGTAAGGCCCAAGTAGAAGCTGACTGGATATGACCGGATATGTGGGACTTTCAAACTTTTGTCTACAAGCATCTCTTTTATCACCCCCCTTTCTTCTTTAAATGTCCCTAGAAGTCACAAGTTTTCTCCAGTTATTTTTCTGTTTCTGTATTCATCCCAAATGCTTCAGGCCAGCATTAGTTGTTGGGCTCTTTCCAGATGTTCCCTTAACAGGCACAGAAAAGCTCATGTGCCCGCAACAGTAAAGCCTCTGGAACTAAGCTCTAGGTAACACTCCCTTCCCCAACTGCCCCTCTAAGCTTGGCAATTTCTGTGTAATTGGCAGAGTAGTTCATATAGGAAAGTTTCTGCCTTCTTGACTGGTCTCCTGAGATGCGGAGAAAAGTAAGCCCAGGGGCCAAGCAGTTGTGACATCCAAAATGGTCATTCCCAATGGGGTATTTTCACTGACTCATACTGAGAGTTTGGGGACCTGCAGTCACCACTGAGATATTTTGGGAACAATTGGACGAATCAAATTGACTATGAGATACATTGTGTTATAAACTTTTTATGTAAAATACATTCTTAGTCATATTAAAAAGTCTTGGTCACAATTAAAATAGCAATCGTTTCCCCAAACATTGGGATTCTAGGAATTATGGATAAATGGCCAATACAGAAGATGTTTGTAGGGATGTATTTCTCATTTTATTATCTGTCATATCATCTTGTTTACTCAACCCTTTACCCTAATTATAAACTATGAATCACTTTTAAACATCAAAGAATTATTTAATCAGTTTTTATGTGGTCAATAAAGTCTCTGATTGCCATTCAGCATTCTAATAAAATAGTCTTGTACCTGAGATGTATGTGGTGGCCAGCTGCCTTGAACTATACTTTTTCATTTTTTATTAAACCAGGTTTGAGTTGTGAAAGACTTGTTTCTATGCACTTGTTTTAATTTTCCATTCAATAAATGTTTAACAAACATTTATCATGTGCCTGTCATTGTGTGAAGAGCTAGAAATACAAAATCAATAGCAAATTGATAATATCCTTAGATAAACTCCATTCCCACTCCCTAATACATGCACACATGTGAGTGTGCTCACACAAATACACACACAGTTTCTCATTTGGAAAGCACAAACAGCCTCAGTCTCCTTTGGTGCTGGCTCATTAGCAGCTTTTATAGAAAATACTAAGTTATTATGCATTTTAGGGGCTACAGCTATTGATTTTAAAGCAAGGAAATTGTTTAAAAAGTAGACTTTATAGACATGTATTTTGTGGGCAGATTCACTTAATTCTATTGCTTAGCTATGCAGAATTTCATAGTCACTTTAAATAGAGAAATTATTCTCTTTTTTTTTTCAAGTTAAATTGTGGTACATTAGGTGGTATTTCAACCAGTTTATGAGCTTCAGCTATGACATGACGGGCTGACTCTACATATTAAAGAACACTGTCCCCAAATTTAATTATCTTGGGGCATCAGCACCACCCAGGATAAAATGAACCATTTTGTTCATCACGACTGCAGCCTTTACCAAAATGGAGGTTATGGGATAACAACTTAAAGGCTAACTCGTTCATGCTCAGGGATGGATGAGGTAATGTGCCAGCAGACCAAATTGGTGCCCAAATGTTTTCTCCTAGAGACCTGTATCTCTTTCCCATGTTGTGCTATATTAATGAGGATGTCTTTATCCATTGTCACTGCCTGTAGACATTTGAATAATGTAGATGTAATACCTGATGGGCATTCAGCCTTGTGCACAATCAATTTCTCAAACTCCAAGGATCTCTCAGTGACTAGAGCAAAATTCTGGGGTTTCCATAAACTAATTTATAAGGATTCAAATTATGGCATCCATGCAGTCCCTGCTTTTATTTTCATAAGTGTTTACTAGGGAGTACTGTGTCATCCCAAATTATTTGATGGGGGCAATGAAGTAAATTAGTCCTCCAGATTGTAAAGGCTATGGATTTAGGCCTAAATGAAAGCATTCCTGTCTTCATAATGTAGAAAAGAGTGACCTTTCTGACTTTAATTTGTTTCTCCATCTGTGCCATGCATTTCGGGAGGACGTGAGGAATAGGCTTGATGATACCCAAACGTATTTCTCCTTGAAATGAGGCGCCCCCCCCCACCTTAGTTATGTCATCCTGGCCATTTGCTGTCCCAAATGAAATTTTCTCTAACTTTTCCCTGCACAATGTGTATTGTGTAGCTCAAAAGTTACAAATTCATGCTACATATTTTTAAAAAGAGTTACTGAGTCAGTATAAGGAAATGTG